AAAAAAAAAAAAAAAAAAAAAAAAAAAAAAAAAAAAAAAAAAAAAAAAAAAAAAAAAAAAAAAAAAAAAAAAAAAAAAAAAGAACTTGTTCTCTTTTTAGGGTCATCACCACGGGGGGACACAGCTCCCCAAATGCCTCAAGGGGAGACTGAGCCTGGAGTCTGACGATGCGTGGGACAGAGCCCCAGGAGCCTGCCCCCACCCCCACCACCCCCCTCTACTGCAGGCCCCATTCCCTGCTCACAAACTCTCCCCAAGGAAGAGGGCCAGGACCACTCACCGGATTTGGATCTTCCATGAACAGCATTTGAGGCAATACTGAGAGACTGGGGCTTTATGGGGTCCCCCAGGACAGGAAAGCTTCCAGCACTGGGAACCTGGATGTAAGGCCCCACAGCAGCGACCCTGCCAGATGTGCTCAGAGGTGACTGTGGTGATGACGTGCCATTCACACGGTTCAGCTACAAATTGGGAAGAAATGAGAGTCAAGGTTCTCCTAAATTAAGAGATCCCAAGCCTACTGCAAGTGACTCCCAGCTTGGACAGAAACCACTGACTCGGTGGTTTGTATTTAGGAAGGCTGTCATCTGGAAAGATCAGCAACTGGAAAGGGAGACTCTGGTGAAGGAACTGTAGCTTCCTACGAGCAATTCTCTGACAACACCCACCACTCCAGAGCCGCACACATGAGGAACTCGTGGGAGCCCAGAGCAACTTCCCCGTGACCCACATGTAGCTTCCCTCTTACTCCCGTGGTGGGCACAGAGGCACTCGTCAAATTCTGGGCTCTGAGCCTGGCTTCAAATCCCCTCTGTCACTTATTCACTATGTGGCTTTAGGCAGGTGCCTCAGCCTCTGTGCCCACATCTGTAAAGTCATGATACGGGCTGTACTCAGTACTGTCCAAGCTGCATGGGGCACGGTGACCAGACAAGGCTCTGACTCCTGACAGTGAGTCCAGTTCCCTGAAGGCAGCTCTGCCCTTCTCAGCCAGGACAGAGGACGCTGTTCACATAATGCTGCTCAAGAACAAAGGGGCTTGGAGCAGGGGTTCCAACTAGAGAACTACTGACTCCTCAACATCCCAAAACAGGCTCTGAACGGGACCCCCTGTGAGATTCTGTATGCATGAGCATAGGTCATTTTGGGGTGAGGGGTCACGGCTTTCACAATTGCTCAAGGGTACCTAGGACCTTCGGGTGGAGACGCATCTCTGCAGAAGTACTAACTTCAAGCTGATCCCCTGAAGTGTAGGTGGAATGAATCTAGCTACTTGGCTAGGCCATAGTAACTGGTTATTTAGTCAAACACCCAATTAGATGTTGCTGAAAAGGTGTTTTCTGGATGAGATTAATCTTTTTTTTTTTTTTTTAATTTCCATAGGTTACCAGGGAACAGGTGGCATTTGGTTACATAAGTAGGTTCTTTAGTGATTTGTGAGGCTTGGTGCACCCATCATCTGAGCAGTATACACTGCACCCAATTTGTAGTCTTTTATCCTTCACCCCCTTCCCACCCTTTCCGTCTGAGTCCCCAAAGCCCACGGTGTCATTTTTATGCCTTTGCATCCTCATAGCTTAGCTCCCACTTACGAGTCAGGACATACAATGTGTGGTTTTCCATTCCTGAGTTACTTCACTTAGAATCATGGTCTCCAATCTGGATGAGATTAACTTATAAAATGGTAGATCTGAGTAAAGCAGATGACCCTCTATAAGGTGGGTGGGCCCCATCCAATCAGTGGAATGCCCTAAGAGAACAAGACAGACTCCCTGAGAAAGTGGGATCCTGCCTAGAGTTGGCCTTCGGGCTCCAGACTCTCCCCTGGACCTCCAGGCTGCCGGCCGGCCTCGCAGATTTTGGGCTTGCCAACATCCACAATCACGTGAGCCAATTCCTTAAGGTAAATCTCTCTTCCTCTCTCTCTCTCCCCCTACACACACACACACGCGCGCACACACGCACACGCACACACACACACGCACGCACACTATTGGTTCTCTTTCTGTGGGGAGCCCTGACTACTACGGCACTACTGAAGAACACACGTAAGCACAGAGAAGGTGCTTGCAGCTTCTTTCTCACTTGGCCTCTTTGTTGTTAATCCTGAGAGAAAAAGGATAACCAACATCTGAAATCATATAGTTGTACAAATAAACTACTGATCTTTAAACTCACTGTTTTGTTGTTCTTGTTTTTTTTTTTTTAAACAAAGGGCAGATTTGTAAATAAGAGACTGTGACACCCACAGAACTGCAAGCTCCCTTCTTCGTCCACCACCCTCCAAACCCACTTCCCCTGGGCAAAGCCCCTCAGGTCCATGCTGCCTCCTTGAAGCATCTATCAGAGCAGAAGAGGCTGACAAGAGGACACTCTTCTGTCACCAAAGCATGAGAGCATCAGTCACTCAATATGCAGAAGGGAGCTGTGGGAAGGGCGTCTTTGCTGGCAGGTCACCTGCTCCACTCTCCTATCACGAGGGCAGAGTATACTCAGCTTTGCATTCAAGCCTAATCACTGAGTGTCACAGGTGTGAGAAAAGAAAATGCCACATCCGGCCAAAGACACAGAGTGCAGACACCCCTCCTCTATGCAGGTGGCTCGGTGGTACACACGCTCACCAATGCACTGTGAGTGACAGCAAGACTCGGGACTCCCTGTCTGACTACAGAGGCTGGTAAAGGGGTTACAGGCTCTGAGACCACAGAATAGCTTTCAGATGGTACAACAAGAATGAGGTAATGACCTGGAAAGACAACCATGTTGCAATTAAAAAAAGACTAGATGAGACAGTGTGACCAGCGTAATTCCTGCAATCCCATTTTCAATTAAAGTTCTGTATCTTTGTGTGTTTATTAAGCAAAAGACTGAAACCATTAACAACTATCACCTCTAGAGAACTGGCTGGAAAGGACTTTCACATTTTCCCTTCAATATTTCTGTACTTAAGAGATTTATCTTAAGGAATTGACTCATGTGATTGTAGATGCTGGCAAGTCCAAAATCTTTGATAGTGAATCTCAAAGGTAATAAATACTCATTTTTTTTAAATGAGTAATTATTCAATGAGTATTTTATTACCTTTGAAATTCAGTATCAAATAAAGATTTTTTAGAAGTATAACCCCTTATATGGCATTTTGCTCAAGAGTCTACAAAATCCTTCCACATGGCTTATTTATAAGAATCCTCACAGCTCCTCATGGGGCAGGTAGGGCAAATCACTTTACAGCAGGACATGAGGCTATGCAAGGCAAGGAATCTGCTCAAAATGACACAGCTTAAAATGGCATAGTGAGGACCGTGCCAGATGCCATGACTCCAGAGCCAACAGCATCCCCCAGTGAAGAAGAGAAGAAACAGACGGGGAAGAAGGCAGGCTAGGACACAGAGCACAAGGCTGTAGGCTGGGGGTGGCTTTGCCTCCACATACTAGGAAACAAATGAGTCATTGGCAGAAGGAAATTTGTTCTGTGGTTTTTGATGGTTTATGGCCTATTTATGTGTTATCAGCTATGGTGGATAGGGGAGCATAATGCCACTTAGAGATGTGTAGTAGTTTATCTCTCAAAAACATTCTTTTTCACATGCCTGAATTTTTTTCCCATAGAGACGTTCACGCAGTTCACTGATTCGCTTGTCCATCATGGCCACCTCCATGTTGCGCTTATTTAAGAGTTCCTTCTGCTGCTGAAGTTTTGAATTTTGTTCCTGGTTAAGCTGGTTACGAATCTACAAACCACAAAATACAACTTTTATGATCTGTATTAATTAAAAATCAAATTCTCATTGCCAGCGAGATTAAAAAGAAAAAAGTAACATTAAGTTCTGATATTTACTTGCATCCACTGCCACTTTGTGTGAAATATTTTACAGGTACAGCCAAGATGAAGCCAGGACAGAGTTCTCATGGAACAAACAAAGAGTAAACATCTGTAATGCACCTTCTTCAAAGCACGTGAAATGACTAGTCTCAATGATGACAGGAGACTAAGTGCCATATTTGGGACTCTCAGAAACTAAAGGATGCTCTGTTCCACTTCATGGAGCTGCTTCAGGCCTGAGCCCACCGCATGACGTGCCTTACTGTGGAGGCAGCAAGAAGTTCAGTGAGGACCAAAAAGGATGGCCTGAATCACCAAGTAAAGCAACCTTACGTCATTTTAGTGGCTTGCAACCAGCATTTTTAAGAAATGAACTAGGACAAAACAGAAAATATCAGAGTGCACTTCCCACAAGAAGAGCTGTCTTAAAACTTTCAGATGCCCACAGCACTAGTGCATATACACCTTCCATGTGTCTGATTCTCCTGAGGCAGGAGAATCACTTGAAACTCAGGAAGTGGAGGTTGCAGTAAGCTAGGATCGCCCCACTGTATCCAGCCTGGGCGACAGAGCCAGACTCCATCTCAAAAACAAAACAAAACAAAACAAACAAACAAAAAACTATACTGCAGTCCAAAAAGCTGGAAATAAATGACATCCCTATATTCCACTCATCACATTTCATCAAAAAATCCTTAAAAACCCTGCACTTTTAACGATTGCTTGAAATGTAAAAGTCATAAAATCCTATAATACTATAGTACTTCTATGCATTTATGTTAAAGAACTTAACAGCAACCACAGTGATTTTACTCTATGTAGTTAAATACTCTCATTTCATAAAATGATATAATACTTTTTCTAGCATGTGCTAATAAAGTGGCAAGACCTATGTCTGGCTTGAAAAATCGCCTGCTGAATGATAACTTCTGAGAAATGAAAATCTTGAGTTCTGTTATGGACTGAATGGGTCCCCCAAAATGTATATGTTGAAGCCCTAACCCTAATGTGGTGATGTCTGCAGGCAGGGTCTTTAGGAGGTAGTCAAGTTTACGCAAGGTCACGAGGATGGGGCCCCCCATGCTGGAGTTAATGCAGAGAAACTAAACTCTCTCTCCACTATGTGGGGACACAGTGCGAAGGTCGCTGTCTGCAAGCCAGGGAGGGAACACTCACTGGAAAGTGAATTTGCCAGCACCTTGGCCTTGAACTTCCAGCCTCCAGAACAGTGAGAAATAAATGTCCACTGTGCGAGCCATCCAGCCTATGATATTTTGTTATAGCAGTCTGAACTAAGATAAGGATTCAATTTGATGTAGCTCATCAAAACAGTTTACACAAAGACCTTAAACATCATCTAAAGTTTAATTCTTTATTGGATTATTATCTGCTAATTAAATTCTTTTGTGCTGAAAACATCCTAAGTGAAAGAAGCCAGTCACAAAGGACTGCATACAGGGTGTGTTTTGGTTAATATCCCTTAACCAAAATGCTTGGGACCCAGAAGCATTTCAGACTTTAGATTCATCCAGATTTTTAAATATTTACGTTATATTTACTTGTTTAGCATCCTTCCTAATCTGGAAATCCAAAATCCAAATGCTCCAATGAGCATGTATTTCCTTTGTGTGTCACATTGGAACTCAGAGAGTTTCAGATTTGAAGCATTTTATATTTTAGGATTAAGGATGCTCAATCTCTACTGTGTGATTCCACTCATATGAAACGCCCAGAATAGGCAATCTACAGACACAGAAAGTAGATTTGTGGCTCCCAGGCTCTGAAGGGTATGGAGGTTGTGGAGTGACGGCTAAGAGGTGTGGGCCTTCTTTCTGGGTGATAAAAATGTTCCAAAACGAGTTGTGGTGGTGGACGTAACTCTGACAACCCTGTCAAGGTACTAAAGCCATGGAATTGTATACTTTAAATGGATGATTATGTTGTATGAATTATATGTCAAGTCATTTTAAAATTATTTTATACTGAATATATCTTGTGCCTACTATTAAATTAGAATTCATTAATTTGTTCCATTTCCTAAGGTTTCCAACCCATGCTAACAAAGCTAGAGAGATGACAATGTTTTCATACAATCATTCCCAGACCCAGGAGTTACCTGTAGTTCTTGGTACAGTCTTTTTAACTCCACTGCTGCTGGTCCTGTCAATTTGCCATTGTAAGACTGGAACCCATTCAGTTTTCCTTTCTTTAAATCTTCCAATTGCTGACTAAGCTGATCAACCCTTAAAATTGCAGTCTGTACTTCCTGCTTCTTTTCCTGGAACATGGCACTGAACCTTTCTATTTCAGCAGCTGTAAGTGCCCACAAAAAAATGTTTGTGGTGGGCCAAGATGAGACCGTTGCATTTGCGCTTGCGACAAAATGATACACCTAAAAACAAAAAAAAAAAAAAAAAAAAAGAAAGAAAAAAAAATAAAACATTTAGTTGATCTTCCCCCACCCCTTCCCGCCCCATTCCTATACACTTAATTCTGTTATCTAGTGCCAGACCTTGGAAAAAGTTGTGATATGCAGAATCCAAAACACAATTCAAAAAGTCTTTGGGACACATGTATCTGATTACTCATAAAGCAAACAATTATATTTGCATGAATTCCTGACTATTCTTTAGGGTAATCAGTCCATAAGCTGGTTTGGTCAAACGACTTAGGAATCTCTGAGACCAAAGGTCTTGTGAAGGCAGGGCCATCCAAGTCTGTCTCCCGCATCACTGTGACTTAAAGTAGGCAAAGAGTGAACCAATGGATAAAATCAGAGTGCATACAGAAAAAAAGTGAGCATGAGTGTAACTTATCTTAACGCATGGATACAAGTTAAGTTACTCAAGAAAAACAGAACCTCTGAATGAGTGTCTTGGAGTGCCCGACCCTAATCCAAAAGGACTGCTGACCAGTGTAACAAGAGGATCATTATACTGCATCTGAGGGCCACTGAGATCTTTTTATTTTTTTGAGACAGGGTCTCACTCTGTCATCAAGGCTGGGGAAGCAGTGGCTGGATCATGGTTTACTGCAGCTTTCACCTCCCAGGCTCAAGCAATCCTCCCACCTTGGCCTCTGAAGTAGCTGGGACTACAGGCTTTTAAGATCACTTAACCTAACCACCCCATCCTTTTAGATGCAAATAACAGAGCAAAACTTTAGCACACTTGCTATTTAGTCCTGTGAATTTGTGACTGTTTCACTGGATCTGGGCCTGGTGACAGTGGTGCAGAGGGAGTGTTGCAGGCACGTACACAGATTGCCGTTCATGATTTTGCTGTAGTCAACTTGTCCTCTCATGGCACGAATTTTCTTCAGCTTGTTCTCCTGGGCTTCAACTCGTTCTTTCAATTTCTGAAGCTTTTCATTTTCAGAAATAGACTGCTGCTGACGGCGCTCCTGTTGCTTTAGAAAATGTAAACGCTGTTCCTAACAAAAGAAAGAAAAATGTAACTTTGAAAATTGAAGGCCGGGCACGGTGGCTCATGCCTGTAATAGCAGCACTTTGGGAGGCTGAGGCAGGTGGATCACCTGGGGTCAGGAGTTCGAGACCAGCCTGGCCAGCATGGTGAAACTGTCTCTACTAAAAATACAAAAAGTAACCGGGTGTGGTGGTATGCGCCTGTAATCCCCGCTACTTGGGAGGCTGCGGCAGGAGAATCACTTGAACCTGGGAGGCAGAGGTTGCAGTGAGCCGAGACTGCACCACTGCACTCCAGCCTGGGTGACACAGTGAGACTCTGTCTCAAAAAAAAAAAAAAAAAAAAGAAAATAGAAGCTTATGGTTACTTTTATATACTCAAAAAGAAAAATATGAGTATATTCTATATCACTCATATTAATATGAGTGTATTCAGTATAAAAATATGAGTGTATTCAGTATCACTCATATTAATGAATACTAAAACACTAACAGAATCTTAAATCAGACCACACAAAGCTGAAATTATTGGGCATACTAAATATGAAGTGGTAAGAGTTGGGGCATTTTTAAGAGAGGGGGTTTTATTATGCACACTGATCTACACCGTTCAGTTAATATAAGCGCTTCTTTGGAGAACATGCACTAACACAATCTCCTCTTCACGCTATCACATCTGTGAAGTCCCAGCGAGCCTTACTTTCCTGCTGCCTGTAATACATTTCCTGCTGCTACAAAGTGGCTTCCAAGAATCTCTTATTTCACTTCCTAAAGGAAATGAGCATTAAGCAGCAGAGGATTTTACACTGTAAAGAAACAAGGTGATCAGTAAGGAGATAAATTTTCAATTTGCTACGATACAGAACAATCAAGGAAGTGTCTGCTTTCTCCAGGATTAGTTTCTTCAATAATGAAACATTTTAGAGTCAAACAGTAACAGAACAATCCAAAAATAACAATATATACAATACTCTCCAATAGGTGTTTTTCCCCTATTAATGTGAAAACATACCTTAAAGAGTAAACATTAAATATTCATGGTCTCATATGTATGCATAAAATATACCTAAATAAGGAGAGGTTTAAGGTGTGATAATGAAGGCACTACACACTGCACTCTAAGGTAAGGCAATATGTACTTAGATGTAGCATTAACTTGTGATTTATACTGCTGAAAATATCTACAACATTTTTGAACAGCAATACTCGGATCAATATTTGGAAAAAATAGTAAGCAGAATTAGAAAATGTTTACAATGACATAATACTATGTATGTTTTATCTTAGAAATCTTATTAATGGGATAAAGTACTTTCCAATTAAACTTAACTTTTCATCATTTTTATTCACATAAATCCAATAAACATTGAGACAACTTTTTAAAACAAGTCCAACCCAAATTATTATTTACATAAAAGTGGATACTACAATGAAGTATACATTCAATAAATTTTTAAAAAATTAGACTGGATATTTAGTCACTAAGAAGATCTCTCTGCAGAAAAAAATAAAAAGAACCTAGCTGGTGATAAAGTTTATCTTTAAAGCAGTTTTGGAATTTTTTTT